CTCATTTAACTGTCAATGGATTTTAGGAGGATCCCTCCTCCAATAAATTCCCACTAATATGGAATATAATCATTTATCAGATTATATTAATTTGCAAGCATATTATACCACTCTATCACAAATCACCCTTAGGTCTTCTGCCATTAGTAACAAATTATTAACATGGATATTCAGTAGATTGTGGAAGAGAAGTAGCAAAAGAAGACTTTGGAAGCCTAAGTGGATGGAGAAGCTGGAGAGTTAGAGAGCATCCTCCATCTTACAGTTTTCCCTTGTCCCTAGATACTATCTGGGAAATTTCTGTGCATTGGTCCTTGTTCTGTTTTTGGAACCACTAGGATAATGAATCAAATCTCCCGTTCTCATGACAGCCACTTGGAAAATTTGAAGAGCATTTTATATCTTCCCCTTAATTCTTCTTTTCAATGGATTAAAGCTCTTTATCTCCTTTGGCTGCTAATCATAGAACCCTCTGGTTCTCTCCCAGAGGGAGAAAACCAGACTCTGCAGAAAACTGTGTACCTTAGGCGTACCTCTCCTAGCTGAACACAACGTTCCAAGCTTTGCCCAAACACCAAAATGTAAAGTGGGCTTATTACCTACCTCCACTTCTTCCAGAGAGTCCTCAGTTGTGGTTGGTTGGCAGTCCCTTGAGACTTCAGATCTAGAATGAACTTGGTTGATAAGAAAAAGCCCTGTTATTCTCACAGACTCACAGACTTGGAAAACAAGCTTATGGTTGCAGGAAAAAGGATGTGGGGAAGGGATAGCTGAGAATTTGGGGATGGAAATGTACATACCGCTGTGTTTAAAATGGATAAGCAACAAGGACCTACCGTACAGCACAGGGAACTCTGCTCAATGTTATGTGGCAGCCTGGATGGGAGGGGAGTTTCGGGGAGAATGGACAACTTATGCATGTATGGCCGAGTCCCTTCGCTGGTCACCTGAAACTGTCACAACATGGTTTGTTAATTGGCTATACCCCAACACAAAATGAAAAGTTTTAAAAAAGAAAAAGCTCTGTTTTTTCTCACTGGGTGTTATTGACTTATCTAACACTTCTGGACTTTTTTTTTTCTTTTTTAAAGAAGATGTGATGACTTCTTTGGTTATAGAAATAAATTTTGGGGAAAGTGGAAACTGTGAACAAGCAAAATGACCATTATTAACAGGTTGATATGTACAAACCAATTGTTTTTATGCATAGGGATGCATATGTATTGTGGATGGCATTTTGCAATAGTGCTGAACTGTCCTCTGTGAACATGTTTCACATAACATTTTTATTAATTGCATATTTAGTCGTATCAAAATTTTGTAGACTAGTCAACTAGTTCTCTGCTGTGGGACATTTAGGTTATGATTTTTTTTGTCATTATGATTAATGCTTTAATAAACATCCATGAACCTAAATTTAAAAAAATTTTCTATTGAATTGTAGTTGATTTACAATATTGTTAGTTTTATTTGTACAGCAAAGTGATTCAGTTATATATATGTAGATATATATATATATATTCTTCTTCAGATTCTTTTCAATTATAAGTTATTATAAGATATTGAATATAGTTCCTTATGCGTGTGCTGTATACTCAGTCACGTAAAACACTTTGCCACCCCGTGGACTCTAGCCCACCAGGCGCCTCTGTCCATGGGATTCTCCAGGTAAGAATACTGGAGTGGGCTGCCATTCCCTTCTCCAGGGGATCTTCCCAACCCAGGGACTGAACCCAGGTCTCCTGCATTGCAGGTGGATTCTTTACTGTCTGAGGCTATACAGTAAATTCTTGTTGCTTATCTATTTTATATAAGGTAGTATAAATCTTTCATCTCAAACTCCTAATCCATCCCTCTTCTACACTCTTTCCCTTTTGGTAACCCTAAATTTGTTTTCTGTCTGTGAGTCAGAATGTAAATATATTTACATTTTTTGTTAAGGTGAATTCCTAGAAGTGAAATTACTGGACTAAAAGATAGAATATTTAAAGTTTAGTTTGTATAAGTCATGTTGTCTTCTAGAAATACTGTACTAATGTGGATGTGTTACCAGCAACAGCAAGAATACCGATTTCTCTACACACTTGCACTCATAAAAATTTTTGACAGTTTTAAGAACAAAAACAAGTAATATTTTGTTGTTTTAATTTGCATTTTAATAACTAGTGGGAGTGAACATTTTTTTCACTTGTCTATTGCCATCTTCTTTTGGAGAATTAACTTTTCATACCTGTTTCCATTTTTCTATTAGGGCATTTTTATTTTTTCTTAATGGCTTGATGGCTTGGAGTAGTTATTTTAGTGCAAAGAATATTTATCTCCCCCAATTTTCTCAGTTTATTTGCTTTTTTGCTTTTTATTTCATTATAAGTAGTTGCATTCTGGATTAAGTCTTCTATCAGATTATTCTTGATTTATAGAAAAATTATGTTTTTCTGTGTATGTGTTATTTAACTGGTGAGCTTACTAAACATTCACATTCATTTGAAATGTTTTTTAACCTATATTTGAATTTCATATCTATTTTGGTCTCACCGTGCTAGCTAGAAATTCAAGGACAATGGTATATAGTAGTGGTGATGATGGACATCCTTGTTTCTGACTTTAATAGGAGTACCTTAATGTTTAATTATTAAGCATGATACTGGCTTTTTGTTTGAGATATATATCAAAACAAATATGCATTTGCTAAGTAAATGTCAATTTATTCAACTATCTCTACAGTTTAAAAGAATGATTCCTGAATTTTATCAAATATATTTTAGCATCTGTTTATATGAATGTGGTCTCTCCCTCGTGAGCTCTCTCTCTCTCTCTAGAAACAATTGCAAATTTAGAGACGAGTTGTGAGTATAATACAAATAACTATTTTTCTGGAACCTTTTGAGAGTTTGTGGCTGACATAATATTCACAAACTCTAAGTACCTTTGTGTATATTTCCTACAAACCAGAAATATTCTCTTGTGTTTTCAAAATCCCACCACCAAAACCAAGCACTGAAACGTCACTAACATCTAATATGTAGCATTCAAGTTCTGTCATATGTCCCAACCACATCCCAATAATATCCAGTTCAGAATCACATGCTACCCATACCAAAAAGTATACACACGTTTTTAGCAGCATTATTCATAACAGTCCAAAAATGGAAACAACCCCAGATGTCTATCAACTGATGAATAAACAAAATGTGTTATCTCCATGTAATGGAATTTTATTCAGCCAAAAGAAAGAATGAAGTGCAATCATATGCTCTACCTCTGAGTGACAATATTATGTTAAATGAAAGAAGCCAGTTGTTATATTAATACAAAAGATCACATGTTATGTGATTCTATGAAAGGCCAAGAACAGACAAATCCATAGACTGAAAGTAGATTAGTGTTCCTAGGGACTGGGGGATATTTGGAGAGGGAATAGGGGTGACTACTACTGGGTACAAGGCTTCTTTTTGGGGGTGATAAAAATGTTTTTAAGTGGTGGTGATGGTTGCACATCTCTATGAACATAGTAAAAAGAACATCAAAGTGTGTACTTTATAAGGGTGAAATTTTTGTGTTATGAATTTTATCTTCATAAAGCTGTTATTAAAGAAAATATTTGTATTTGCACTTACTTATCATGTCCCCTTGGTCTCCTCAATATGGAACAGTGGTTCGGGCTTTTCTAGGCTTTACTGACCTTGACAGTTTTGAAAATTATGGGCCAGTTCTTTTGTAGGTTATTCTCAATTTTAGATTGTCTGATATTTCCCCATGATTACATTCAGCTTATGCATCAGAGCTGGAAATCTCACGGAAGGAATACTGTATTCTTTGCATTGTATCTTGTCAGGTGATACATGATTTTGATTTGTCCCATTACCAATGATGTTCAATTTGACCAGGTGATTAAGGTGTTATCTGTCAAGTTTCTCTCCTATAAATGTATTATTCCTTTCCCTTCTGAATAACTTTCTTTTATGGAAAGTTACTTTGGAAGAGTGTAAAAACCCATTCATTGTCAAAGTTGTATTCATTTATTAGTATGAACCCATGTTTTAACATTTAATTTGCCATGTTATGATTCATTACTAAAATTACCTTTTTGATGTCAGTTTACCCTAGATTTGACCCATGAATCTTCTCAAATTGGCATCTATATCCTCTTAGCATATCCCCTTCATGCTGTGAGTGATTCCAAATGATTCTCTGGTGTAACAAAATGCTCCAGTTTGTGTTCTGCTTTCTCAAGCCCTAGAATCAGTCATTTTCCCAAGAAAAACTGGTTCCTCTTAGAAGAAAATGCTATTTAGAAACCAAGAGTTGATCTCTAAGGAATTCACTGATTTGAAGGGTTTCACTGCTTCACACCCCTCTCAGTGGACTGAGCTAAAGAATATATGTAGATTCCTATATATGTACATTCTCTTACATCTGTGTGGCTCTCTATGTTATTAATATCTGTATCTATCCATCCATCCATATATGGAAAGCCATGACTTTATAGTGATACTTTTACTTCAATCCAACTCAATAGTTTGAGTTTTCTGCCTTTCCACATTTGTATATCCATCCTCTGAGAGTAAAAAATCTGACCTTTATTATCCTTACGAGTGTTACATATGTGATCAAATTCTTGTGTAAAACCAATCTTCTGTTCAGCACCACTGCTGCCTCCCTGTGTTTTCCCTTCTCGCAGCACTCAAGATCTAATCTACACCCATTTATTCCTGGCCCTGGATGCTGGCTTTTGGGCTGAATAGGTCAGAAAGGGAAGAGGGGTAGGAGGAGAAGGAGAAGAAAGTCGTTTTTCTTTTTTGGCTTATAACTTAGTGAATTACATTAATAGATTTTTACTAACATTGACTCACTCTTACACTTTTGCAATGTGCCTTGCTTTGATTTTTTTTCCACTCTTAAGATTTCTTAATAATTTATTTTGCTGATTTGCAAAAGCCATGGCATGCCGAAATTTTTCTTAGGCATTCCTTTAATGTTATTGTTTTTTATTTCTACAGAGGAATACATGGCTTCCTTTTGACTTCTTTGCATTTTCCCAGTACCTTTGATTTTGGAAATAGTATAAGAATGATGGCTGCATGTTTCAGTGTTGGAAATTCATGGTATGTCTCAGAAGCAAGGAATCACAGGATATCTACTTTTCAGTGGTGAGTATGCCTCTCACAAAAGCCACACCATTATTTATAATACCGTAATTTTTTTCATAGAAACAGAACAGGGATTCTCAACATTTCCTGAAATTTCAAAACTCAGAAAAAGATTAAAAAAAAAAAAGAATATTCAACTAAATATTCATTTGTTAGCCCAGCACTGGAAGGACCCAGCCCTAAATAATAACTGGTGAGTAAATCAACACCAATACCACTATCATTCATCTCCTTCCTATCAGCCTAACCCAAAAGAATTTCTTGGCACCCACAAGAAGGTTAATTGAAAAGATAAATCTACTTTGGGAAGCATTTGTATTTTAAGGAGAGATGGAATTGGGGAAGTGCCATGCTGACATCTATCATTCTACAAATCATAATTATTGTCAGTGATCTGAAACCTGGCGCATGTTATGATGGTTAAATAATGTCTATAGTTTTGCTCTTCAGGAATGCTTTTGTCACTGACCTGATCATTATCATGCTGCTTGGGTCTTTTAGGGCTAAAATGTGTAAGCTGCTTATATTTATCTGGGTAGTTGGTTAATTTTGGTGGCAGCCACCTTGCAGGTATGATTTTTCTTCCACTGACAGAAAACAAAGCCTGGATTCCTATCTTTTTTTTCTCTAAAGCATAGTTATATTTTTTAATTGGAGTATAATTGTATTATAATGTCATATCTGCTGTACAATGAAGTGAATCAGCTATACGCATACATGTATCACCTCCCTCTTGGACTTCCCTCCCACCCAGCCCTGAATCCTACACATCTAGTTCGTCACAGAGCACGAAGCTAAGAATCCTGCGCTTTAAAGTACGTGTATCTATTTTATACATGGTTTCATTATTTATACTTTCTTTCTCATCTCCCACTAGCCCAAAAAATAAAGTCTGTGCATGTACATATATTCCCACAGTACATATGTTCAGTTCACTTCAGTTGCCCCCAAAAATAAAGTCTGTTACTGTTTCTACTGTTTCCTTATCTATATGCCATGAAGTGATGGGACCAGATGCCAAGATCTTAGTTTTCTGAATGTTGAGCTTTAAGCCAACTTTTCCCACTCTCCTCTTTCACTTTCATCAAGAGGCTCTTTAGTTCTTCTTCACTTTCTCCCATAAGGGTGGTGTCATCTGCGTATCTGAGGTTATTGATATTTCTCCCGGCAATCTTGATTCCAGCTTGTGCTTCATCCAGCCCAGCATTTCTCATGATGTACTCGGCATATAAGTTAAATAAGCAGGGTGACAAT